AAGTTGGGTTGAACTGAACGTATTGTGGCCAAGGGAATGGAGGCTTTTGGCCCATGGTAGACACCAGAGAGGGTGAGATTCTAGAACTTTTCCATACTTTACCACCCACTACTTGCTCCTGATTATTCAGCGTTACCTGGGGGCACGTGGCTCCTCTATTTTCTCAGCCTCTGCGACGTGAACATCTTCTTCCTCATCTTGGTCATTTTCTGCAAGTACAGATGTGTTCGTTCAGATACTTCCTGTTTCACACTCTGCAAGCACAGTCAGCCCAATGTGCACAGGGACATGGATGTCTGTGTGTGGGTCCCTGTTCTACCGAAAGCTCTCATGGTTTCTCTTTAACAAAACGCCCTGGCATGGTTTCCTGATCCACCAAGCAATGTGTTTCTGGTCCGGAGGCTCACCGTCAAGATGAGGCCAAATGTTGACAAGACCTTCTGCTCCCACATCACTGGAGGCTTGCACAGCCTCTCTCTGGACTTTGGCAGCTGTCTCCCCCATCCTGACACAGATCTGACGCCCAGGGACAGGCTTGCTGTCCTGTCACAGTTCACATTTACAACCTATTTCTTTCTCTTAGGAGAGGACAAACAAACTCGTCCCACAATTCTCTGCACCAGTACTAGGGCACTCCCTGCTCTTCATGGGGCCACTTACACATATCACAGGTTCTATTAGGAGCAGGGTCCCCTTGGAGCTCCTCACAGGAGGTACTGTGTGCTATCATCGTGTTTCCCCCAGCGTCCCTAGAAAACAGCTTTGCCCACTGGGCCTCAGCAGAAACTGGAACTGAATAGAAGTTCAGTAGCCTCAGACATTTAGACCAACAGGCTGGATGCTACTTGTCTGCAGGATCTTATACGGTACGGAGAGGATTCCTGTAAACATGGATTTAGCCTCTTGCTGAGAAAAACAGATGGTTCTCTGCCTGTGTCAGAAATCAATAGCTGGGATTGTAACCCCAGTCCCACACCCACCTTACTGCAGATGTGGAAAAGTTGCTAAATACTTTGGCCTCTGTCTTCCATTCTAACTGCATGTTAAAATACTAATTGCTATTCTCTATAAGTATGGGAAGGATGAAATTAATTTTGATGAAGAGAGAGGTTAGTTTCTCGAGACAAGACAGGACCTCATTCATCAGTTTCGTGGTGGTTGGTCAACCTGTAGAACTTACTGTATGTCCTCAGCTGGTAGTTCAGGGAACAGGCCACCTCACTCATAGGACATCTATTTTTGCTAACTTCGACATTTGGTCTGTTATCTTCCTGCTGGGAGCAGGATTTCTCAATGCGTTCTGGAATGTTCACCTCTGTGTTTTTTCTGGAAGGAGGCCTGCCAGATGCCACCTTGCTGATGTTTGGGGGAGAACACAGAAAGCCAGGGACTGGGGAGAAGAAACCCAAACACATGATGGGTTAGAAACTAGTGATGTCAAATTGGTTTAATCGGGACTGAGGATGTCACTGACAGCCTCGCCTATTGATTTGAAGATGTCGTTTCCCTGCTTTTCCTCTTTTCATCTCCACCCTTGAGCTCCTTAACGTCAACTTGTCTTAGCTACTCAGTCACCTTGAAACCTGGAAATAAACACTTCTAACTTTATCTTGCTTATAAGTTCTGTAGGATCTTACATGGTAGAGAGGATTCCTGTCAACATGATTTCGCCTCTTGCTGAGAAAAACAGGTGGTTCTGTGCCTGTGTCAGGAATCAATGGCTGAGATATTAACACTAGTCCCACACCGGCCTTACTGCAGGTGTGAAAACTTGATAAATACTTTGGTCTCTGTCTGCCGTCTTTAACAAAATGCTAAAATACCCATTGCTATATTCCTAGAAGCATGGGAAGGATGAAATTAACTTTGAAGAAGAGAGAGTATGGTTTCTCAGAGACAAGTAGGACATCGTTCAGCACTTTTGTGACAGTGAACCTATAGAGCTTACCTTCTGTCTTCAGCCGGCAGCCCAGGTAGTAGGCCACTTGACTCATAAGAAGTTTATTTTTGCTGTCTCTGCATTTCTGTTCTTTATCATGATCTTTTCGATCTTCTGTAAACAAATTCAGAAGAGCAGGTCATATTAAGCAAATCACACTTCACACAAGACCAAATCAGTGTCCAGTCATAGCACAAGGATGTAAAATATTCTGAGTGTAGGAACGTGATATTATGATGGGAATGTTCTACCGGGCCCTAGACTAAGTCGCCCTAGAAGTAGATGAGCCTGCTTTTCAGATGCATGGGACAAACTCTTAATCACGTATCCTCTGATCAAATTAAAACTTTTTCCCCAAAATCTTCCAAAAATTGCCCTACTTTCCAGAAGCGTTGCTGCAATACTGATTTATCTCATCATATATCATGGTCAATGAATGGTTATAGAAATTTATATAGGAGACTGGGCCGATGGATAAATTCTAACAACCTTAAAAAAGAATCTGTGGAGCAGGCATGGTGGCTCATGCCTAGAATCCCAGCACTTTAGGAGGCCCAAGCAGGCAGATCACTTGACCTCAGGAATTCAAGACTAACCTGGCCAACATGGTGAAACCCTGCCTCTACTAAATATACAAAAATTAGCCAAGTGTTGTGGTACCCACCAGGGATCCCAGCTAATTGGGAGGCTGAGGCAACAGCACCAGGGTACTTCCTGCTCTTGATGGTGCCACTTACACATACCGCAGGTCCTATTAGGAGCAGGGTCCCCTTTAAGCTCCCCACAGCGGGTGCTGTGTGCTATCACCGTGTTTCCCCAGTGTCCCCAGAACACAGCTTTGCCTACTGGGGCTCAGAAAACCAGAACCAAATGGAAGTTCAGTAGCCTCAGACATTTAGACCAACAGACTGGATGCTACTTGTCTGCACAATCTTACACGGTACAGAGAGGATTCCTGTAAACATGGATTTAGCCTCTTGCTGAGAAAAACAGGTGGTTCTCTGCCTGTGTCAGAAATCAACAGCTGGGATTGTAACCTCAGTCCCTCACCCACCTTACTGCAGATGTGGAAAAGTTGCTAAATACTTTGGCCTCTGTCTTCCATCTTTAACAAAATAATAAAACACTCATTTCTATTTTCTACAAGTATGGGAAGGATGAAATTAATTTTGATGTAGAGACTGGTTAGTTTCTCGAGACAAGACAGGACATCACTCATCAGTTTCGTGGTGGTCAACCTATAGAACTTACTGTATGTCTTCAGCTGGTAGTTCAGGAAGTAGGCCACCTGGCTCAGAAGAAGTCTATTTTTGCTGGCTGCGAAATTCGGTTTGGTCTCTTCCTGCTGGGAGTAGGAATTGTCGATAGTATGTGGAAAGTTCACCTCTGTGGTTTTCGTGGAACAAGTCCTGCCAGATGCCGACATGCTGACATTTGGGACACCACAGGTACAGCCAGGGACTGGGGAGAAGAAATCCAAACACATGATGGGTTAAAAACTGGAAATCAAATAGGTTTAATCAGGACTGGGGGATGTCAACAACTCAAATTCTTAACTTACTGTTGAGAAAAACTTGATCCTCACAGCACTTTAGGGTCCTTAACCGCAAAAACAAGGTTCGCAATGCTTCAGCTGAGAGCCGAAGGTGCTGCCTGTAGCTCAGACTCTGACAAGAGTGTGGGAGATACTGGCCAGAGTCCCAGGTAACGGCCTGCTGTTGCAATAACAGAATTAGAAGCTGGGCGTGTCATGGAATCTTAGGAGCCCTTCATTCCAATTGCCCAGATTTGCCAAACCCAGGCCTCCTGGTCTTACCTGAGGTCACAACCGATGGGGACCGTTCCTCTATCAGCCACTCTCAGTATTTGTGTACCCTTGTGACAATGCCACAGTCCCATCTCAGTCCCAGTATATCTAAGCATGTGCCTCACTTTTCATCTCTTATGTGTATAAAATCATCAAGGCAGAAACAGTTTCCCAACATGTGATATTTTCTTAATGCTAGTCATGAAGTCAGTCACCCCTCCTTCTCATGTGTTAAAACAGAATTGAAGGCTTCTCCACAAGTTTAACATATCAACCTATTACACTGCCATGATATCCTCTGACTCTTCTGCAGTTTTGTCTGTGTCCACTAGAAAGTGAATAATTCATTTTTTAAAAATGTTTTCTTTCCTGGCTCAATATCCTTCTTGCTGCATCCCATGGTTATGCTGATTTATATTTTCTTCCTGGCAGATATCACTACACTGATATTTGTGGCAGAAGAGACTTTTCATTACACTTAAGACCAGTTTGATGTCCCTATATCCAAAGCTTCCTCTATATGGGATGATTTGTTTTTTAATGTGACTGAACACTACATCTCATTCTTGTCACTTAAGGATGACATTCTAGTCCCAGAAGAGCTCTTTTCAAGGTGGCAAGTCATCAAAACCATTTCTATAGAGATCTCCTGAAGGTGTATGTGACCATCTATCTTGGGAAGTCTGGTAAACCTGATATGATTTTGTTGTTTTCATTTCGTTTGTCCATATATTGAAAATAACAGGACCATGAGCGGTCCTTATGGAATACTGTTTGAGAGATATTTTTCTGAGTTGGTCTAACGCCGTTGAGGTGTGGTTGCATCCCACTAAGCAAACACCGTAAGATCAAGGTGATGGTCAGGGGAGGTTGTGGTCCTCCGTGTTGCTGTGCAGTAGGAGGTGAATTTGAGATGACAGGAACTAGTAGGGAAGAGCGATCCCCTGAACCACCTCCTCACTTTCTCAGCTTTCATCGCCACCCAGGTTTTGTGAGCCTGGGACTTGGGAGACTGTTCTGTAGCCCAGGTCTCCTGTGTTTGGCTGCTTCCTGGGCTTGCCTGAGTTGAGGGTGCAATGGGTGTGACCCTGGGCTGCCCAGCATTCATGTGGAAGTGAAGCAAGGAGGACTGGATCAATCCCATTGGAAAGCGTGCCTCTCTACAGCCCCCATCATCCTCCAGCAACACCGTAAGCATACGGCTTTGATATACATCAAAGGCTTTATGTATATACATGTTCTGGGGTCTGGGAGGCCTGACATTCTGTGGCAGAAGGAAAATCTGTCAGGTTTCTTCACTATAAAAATGATGAAACTGCAGGTTCACAAAGTTATGTGGCTTACTTCAGGTCACACAGGGATGGGCTTTGAGCACTGCCAATAAAAGCAATCACAACAATTATTCCATAATTATTCATAGGGTCCATGTCATTCAGAAAGTATTCATACAATTATTCAGTAATTATTTGTTGATCAATTTGCACCAGGAATTTTCCTCAAAACTGTGCACATATTTGGACAGCATATCTTCATCATCATCCTCAAGGTAATAATACTGTTATCCTAAGAATCAGGTAAGAA